ATGATTGAAAACCCCCAATTGATTCTTGATTGCCAATCAAATTTTGAGAATAGCTACAATGACTCATCTAATCCGAATTCCCAATTGAGTGAAAATCAATGAAATTTGTTGTACCCTCATCCTGGTAGATTGTATTTATCAATTCAACTGGTAGATGCTAAGACATATATTTCCAAAGAATTCTACATAATTATTGGAAAATAATTTGGAAACACCATATGAGATAATTACATGCCTATTTTTTGAGTAATTAATTTTTTTTAATTTAGGAACAATATCCACATAATCTTTTCTTTGGTCGGAGAATTATATTCACTATTTTAGTTACAACCGAGTTCATATATTTCTTATTGTTTGAATATTATCATTGATTTGTTTCTTAAATAAGACAAGAAAATGGTTCTCATCTTATGACTTTTTTAATTGGAAAATGTAAGTTTATATAATAAAATTAGGACACCTGTTAAATAAATCTCCCATTTTGAAGATGGAAAATGTGTGGCTGAGGATTGACCGTCCACTTTCCAAGCTAACGGCATGGTTATCTTAGCATTTTTCAATTCAGTCTTAAATCATTGCGCGAAATTCCAACCTAGTCCTTTCAGTCAATTTTCGTTGGAAATAGCCAATGTGACGGTCCAGTCACCGTCGGTTATCCTAAGTGGCACAACATCTCGTTAGCAATTTCCGACAAAAATTGATTAGGAGGACTACGTTGGAAATTTCATGCAAAGGTTATTGACTAAATTAACAAAATTAGAAAGTTTGCGACTTGATTAACATCCATAAAATAAGTTTATGATTGATTGGACAATTTCTACTTGAAACTTCACTCAACTTGACTAATTCACCTCCTACAAAGATAGATTTGATCATGCATGTGAAGTCCAATTTGTCACATAAACCATGAATTATGCGTAAGATATGATTGATGCTTCAATCAAACCAACTGCCTAACTAATAAAACTTTCTCTAAACCATTAATTAGTTTTGATACCCATTTCCATTACATAAACTGATAACTAACAGATGTGATATATATCCCCAGAAATGCAATTTTTTCATAAAAAAAAATAAACACAAGCTTTATGAAAGAAAGGCAAGAGTCAAGCCCAGGCAGGCATCTAGGTTTTTCTGTCTAGCTCACTTGTCCTTCCACAAACAAAATTATTCCATGCATTCATATCATTGCTGGTTTGGTCCTAAGGAAGAACTTTAAAAACTTTATCTCAGTCCTCAACCGAATTTTGGGATCATCGGGATATAAAACTCTTAGAGGGTATTCCCTTCTCTTAGGAAAGATAAAAATTTGGGGGGAATTGAAAGTGCGAGGCATGTGGGCATCGGCACATTGAAATAATAAATGCATCCATGGAGCCCGTAATATTTGTATATCAAACAGACATGCCATGAGGCTCTCGTAGGAGCCAAAGCTCCCTTCCTTTGATGAGATTATCTTTTAACCGAATATCAAGAATTCAAGGAAAATTCCTAGTTAAGAGGACACAAGCTTTATGAAAGAAAGGCAAGAGTCAAGACCAGGCAGGCATCTAAGTTTTTCTTTCTAGTTCACTTCTCCTTCCACAAACAACATTATTCCATGCATTCATATCATTGCTGGCAAGTTCCCCACCCAGTGTACGGAGCCATAACCCCTAGTAGATTAAAACAGCGACCTTAAAACTTTAAAAGAGCTGAGGCAGCATTCATACTATATTTAATTTAAACAAACAAAAAAAGACCCTCTATTTAACTACCATCAAGAAAGTAAAAAAAACGAATTGGCTAATAATTAAAAAAAACCCTAACTAAAAAAATAATTTCCCACCTACATTTGTTGAATAAGTAACAAAAGGCACCAACCCACTACCATAAATGAAGTGTATACTTTTTTCACTTGTCTTTTTGCTTCCTAATCATATGATCATGTTAGATTTTGACTAGAGATATTCTTTCTTTAGTGTGTATGCTCCTCACGTACTAATGTCATCTTATAGGTTCATTATTAGGTCTACTTAAAAAGTTCGATCTACATATAATTTTATTTAATTGGGAGGTGCATATACTAGTCTTGATGCTTTAAACTCAGTTCTTGGCACTTTAGCATCATCACTTTGTGGATTTTCATATTCATACAAGTACAGCCTCATCTACATCACTAAGCTCGTTTATAAACCCTTTTGACATTGATTGCTTATGACTCTTCGGGGTTTTATCTGCTCTAAGTGATAGGGATACTAGTAATCATACTGATTAAAACTAACAAAGACAAGAAAAACATAGAAGTGCAAAGGTAGAATAGGGTTTGTTATAAGGGTTAATACCACGAAAAAACTTAAATTGGTACACTTGCGACAAATTTATCCTGAACTAATTTTTTGACCACCAAAGACCCCAAATTGGTACACCTGTAACAAATTTACTCTTCGTTAAATTGAATTAATACCACAAAAAATCACAAATTGATAAACCTGTGACAAACAGAGGGTAAAATCCCAAATTGGTACACCTATCAACTACCACGTGTCATCCAACTCAACAATTTGACGGTAAAATTTATTGAAAACTAATGAAGGATAAATTTATCACATGTGTACCAGTTTGGGGTTTGTTATAATAGAGAGCAGAATTGGTGTGTCGCTTGTGCTTGTGCAATTAAAAAAGGGTAAAAAAGAGAGCATATATATAATTCGTTGTCACCGAAAAGATTATTTCTATCAGCAGCATCAAGAGATTGACATGTTACGATGCGATTCAATCATTAATTATTAGAGATCTTTCAGCGAAAGAAATTTTAAGTGCATACACACGAAAGGAATCCTATGATCGTATATGAAAGAATATAAAATTATTAGTCGTATATAAAATGAAAATTCAAAAACAAACTATTTATTCCATTTTCTCATTTGACTATAATGGTAATAATTTTACTTGATCCACTACCAGCTAAAATATATATATATATATATATATATATATATTTCTCGCGGATGGTAAAGATACGCCATTTGCAAAAATACCCCGTCGCATACATGTCTATACTAGCAGAATTAACTAACCATATAAAAAATATCATGCAGACAAAGAATTATATATAAAATAATACTTCCCAACAAGCACTACTTTTCCCAATAGTACTTTTTAATCATGTTACCAGAAGAGTCACAAATTGATGATAAGTCTAATGACTCGCCACATGCTTTAAACAAAAGAGATATATCCCAAGATTAGGGCTTCTTTGGCTCTTATCCCACATAGTTTTATCTCGTTTGGTGCAAAGTTTAGCGGTGCCCGATGCCTCCAACAACATTATTCCCTCTCGAAATCGACACACAACCTTATGCGGTCGCGTAGAAATTTAAACCCTAAACATTTCACAACCATCGCCCATGAACAGATTTTACGTATTCCCTTTTCAAGATTGTCAAGATTCCATCGGTGGTGCCAATTTCGAGACTAATCAAATCCACCCACATCTCCAAAATAAACATTTGAATAATTAGCTCAATAATGCCTTGGCTATAGTAGGCTACGTGCGCATAACATTAGTTAAATCTCCCAAGTCCCAACTACTTGTTCTCTTCTCATAAACAACCAAGCTAGAGTATCTTCAACGAGATACCCAAAAACATACAAGAAAAATTAATTAACAACCTAGAAATTAGGTCTTTATTTCATGTCCCTCGAAAAAAAAAGGAATTAACGAAGCTTCTACCGAAAAGTATTAGGGTCTGTGCACGCACCTAAAGGTTGTTTGCAGTTGTCTATTTTGGACTAGGGTGGTCCACGAGCCAATCACCACACATTTCTGTTTTTATGTTCAGGAACGATTCATTGAATAATATGAACTTTAGAGCTGCTTCGCAGCACCTGCAATCGCCTCACCGCAGTTGTTTGATTTGATCGCCGGTCCAACATGTATAGTTGGATTTCTGATATAGTTACATCATTTAGTAATCTTCTTAATAAATCTTGAGTACACATGACTACAATAACTTGCAAACTCAGCATGCTTACACTTCTTCCAGATCGAGTTTTGCCTGGTTTGTTTTCCGTGTATCGCGTGGATGTTGACGTGATCTAAATCTCTGTGGTGAGCATGCGATGAATAGCGTTAAAATTATCGTGAAATCGACGACAGTACTTTGCAATCATAGGGAAGAAAAAATAGAAATGAAGGAAGAAATTGTCAATTTCTTGGATGGAGTGTGATGATTTTGTGGGGGAGATGCTAACGCAATGCTCAAGCAAAGTGTACATGTCAACTACAATCCAAAATGTGTTGAGGAAAAAAGAAGGAAAGCAAAAAGCCTCTCTCTTTTGTCTACTCCCGTGGGCTAAGATCATGCCTTCCTTTTCCCTTTTTTTCGCCATCGCCTTCACTTCACAAGAACTATGTATATTCTATCCACCTCTCTCATTTTGCTTGTGATTCCTTTCCTTTATACATATCTTCTTTCCCTTTCTTTACTTTACCTTCCCTCCCTGTTCACACCAAATCATCGAAGTTCATAAAATCAAGTTGTCACGATACGATTGTTAAGCAATCAAATGAAAAAAAATTCAAGGTTTTCAATGTATTGCTTTTTTCCATATTGTATAATCGGCATTTCGGAAGTCGAAACATTCCTTATTTAATATGCTTAATTAATGTCCAGAGCCCTCGTAAATAAGATCCATTCAAAAAGTCATCCAGCCTTTATTCGATTTCAAACTGCGTATCCATGTTTTCATAAATGAATATATTGAGTAGACATACTCTTTTTATTAAGATTTCTCGTGTAGATCGAGTGAAAACCAAAAAGTAAATATGAAATTCAAATATTTTGGTGGCTTGTATCCACCCTCAATTTAGGCCAAAATGGGTGTATACTCACTCAAGAGAACTCATACATTGATCAAACTATATAACATTGAGAACTTGAAGACAATTAAGATAAAAAAGGAGTAAGAGATTGGCTAAGAATGTGACTCTTGTAATATTACGCGGGAAATAGTAATTACATGATCAGTCCATTAGCAATCGCACGATTCGTGCCCACATGAGTAGTTTCATACACTGGAAGGTCTTCACAATATCTCTCATTGCCTATTACTGCAAGATGATCAAGCTCAAACAGATCTGAGCTCGAATAACTTGCCGCGTCGTCGTCGTCGTCATGGCAATCGCCCTCGTCATAGCCGACCTGATGAATCTCCTGGTGGCCCCTCGCCGCGAAACTGTCGTTTCTCAGCTTCTTCTGGTTCTGGTAGTAATCCCTTAAGAACTCTCTCGCCGCCTCTTCCACGCGCCGGCTTTTCTCAATCGCATGGGATTTGACTTGCTCTGTTTCCTCTGTTTTCCTCGATGTTGGCGGCCTCCCTCCGATTTTCCACGCACTCGGCATGGACACCGGCATTGAATTCGAGTTGTACTCGTCGTGATCTTCTTCACACAGTGATTTTTGTCCGCACGGCCTGCAATCTTCGTCCACGATCACGCTCACCGGGTAGAACCGGACCGTCCTCTTGACGCCGTTATGCAGTTTCTGCCTCGATGCTGGGGAATGCTTGCTCAAGCAAGATCTCGAGAACGAAGAAGCCGTGGAACACACGGATTCTTGTGCAGATTGAGATTTCCTCTCGGCATTTGGTTCTCCATAACCACCAGTCGCCGTGGTCGGCTTGGGCTTCTTCGTGTTGGTGGCGGTGAAGAGAGAATTGATGAAATTCGAGAGCCGGCCCCCTGGCGAAATCGGCTGCTTCACCTTCTTCAGGTTGGCATAAATTTTTAACGCTCTCGATTTGGACTTTATCATACCTCCCTCGTTGTACGCGCTCTGTTCGGCAGAAGAATCGTGGCGATAATTATCAAAGTCACGCGACTTCCTCTGCTCTTGAAACAGAGCCCTCCCTGTTTTCTCCGGTTTAACAGAGGAGCTGGTCCTCACCGGCTTAGGCCTCGGTAGTGATGGTGGAGCGAAGCAAGAGCTTCTTGTCTTGACGACCCCATACATGGACTCAGTGTCCGAGGAAGAGAACCCACCAGAGCTCGAATCCGACGAGCTCGAGGTCGAACTGAAAAACAGAGCATCGGGGTCGCGATCGCGATCCCTCCTCTGCTTCCTCTCGAACTCGTCCCTCATCTGCCTCGCTTTCGCTCCCCCATCGTCACCGACCTTGTTATTGACGAAACCACCTCGGTGATGAGCGAGGTTTTCCTCGGCGCACTTGCTGCTTTTGGAGCCGCATTTCTTGACGTCCCGGATGCTCTGTTTCCTCGCCATTGCCGCGTCGCTGCAGAACCTCATGTCCTCCTCGTCTTTCGGGTCGGGCTCATCAATGGACCTGTAGATCTTGTCGAGAAGAGTGGAAGAGAAAGACGGGTTCCGCTTCCCTTGCGCGCACCTCTCTTCCCTCAGAGTTCTCTCCGACTTATACATGTCCCTGTTCTCCCCCCCTTTTTCCCCTCTCCCCACTTCTTCAGAGAACTGTGCAGGAACAGAGAGATGTCAAGAGCACAAGGATTGACACGCGCAGAGCGAGAGAGACAAAATGATGGAGAGAGAGAGGGAGAAGAGGGAGGGGGGTGGTTGAGCCTGTCTGGGAAAGGAGGAGGCTCGGAAAGCTGCCGCTGTTTCGGGAGGCGCTCAAATCTCGCGAGAGGACAGGTCGGGCGAGAGGGGCATTACTGGAAAGCGGACATCTCTTCTCTCACTAGAATTCCTTCTTCCCTGTGGCTTTTTTCTCTCTGGGGAGTGAAAGAAGGAAGGGAGGGAGCGAGCATGGCGTGGAGGAACAAGAGCAATCGATGTGTTTTGGTAGAGAGAGAGAGAGTGCGGGGTAGAGAGAGAGAGGGAGAGTAATGAGAGCGAGAAAGGGCACGCCTTGAAGATGCAGGACAGGGGAGGAGGGAGAGAGAGGACTTTTATAAAGGGGAGGGGGGGTCTCGTTCGTGCGCGTGCATGGTCCGTGCCGATTGGAGCTAATTGGCCAGCTTGGCGCTGTTCTTCCTGCCCATTTTCTTTTGTCCCCGTTTTGCCCCTCCATGGTGTAGGAAATTACTCAATTCCCCACAAAAAAATTGGAAGTAAAGCAAAAATAATTGGAAATGGAGTAAATTTAACTAGTGCCAGTTTCCCAAGTTCGAATTTGAGTTCGTCGACCGCGTCGAAAGAGTAAGGAGGGGTGATCAGGCGTAGCAAGCGATCCATCTCGAGCATTGCCATAAAAATCTCACATCTGCCGCATCCGATTTGAGTCATAGATATTATTGCTCGTAAAGTCACGTTTCTAGAATTAGAATCGTGACGTGAAGAATGATCTTCTGCATGAGGATTTGCTCGAGAGCCTAATAGTATAAAACTCACAACTTCGTGGAAAAACAATGGGTGCTTTTTACCACACTATGTCATACTTTTAACTTTCATTTGTATGAGCCTTTTTGGCATCGTAGTTCTGATGTGCTTTGATTTGGGCTATTGAAGATTTTAGCAACATGTATTTCCAAAGCAAGTGCGACCTTAACTTTATGGAAAACATGGTCTTAAAATGATGAGGATCATCCTCATCACTATATAATTTGACACTCAAAATCTATCATATTCACTCTAAAAGCTTCGTCGAGGCGCTCTAGTATTGTCGTGTTTAAGGGGATTCGCCTTTTCAAGTTTTGTTAAACCACCTTAAAAGAGCCCGAATATCCCTGTAAATCTCAAAGCTGTCTTGAAGGTGCACATTTCGAACACCATCCAAGTTTTTTGTATATTGGGTTTTGACGAATTTACTCGGTTCGCGCAATAAATATATATATAAGCGGAATGGAATATGCTTCTTGTTGAATTATTAAGTCTTACAATAAGTTGATTTTACAATAGACGGCTGATCGAAATGGTATCTTTGGTCAATGAGTTAGAGTGACTCTAAAAGTCGGCAGACTTGTATACAGAGCCATAAGATTTCATGTACAATTCCTCCTTGATATAAGTCTTTCCGATTCCAATCATAAGAATTGACCTAAATGTTGCAAAACCACGATCGAATCAGGATGGTGGATTTGTTTTAATGCATATAACCGATCGAAGCCTCCAACGGGCAAACTCGAACTAAAATTTGATTCAAACCATGTGGGGGTTGGTTACATCACCAAATTGACTAAGAGTTTGGAGAAATTTGGGAGATTGGGCAGGAGGAGAATTATTGGATGTAGATTGATGGAACCAACGTCGGTTGAATAATTAATTCGAACGTAGATCGGTTGATTTGGGAATATTTGCGAGGCCATAATGGAAGTGGAATATCATACTTAATGAGATGGGTGAGCAGGTTATCATTATTCTGTTTGGTGCATGTGCATATTTCTAATGGAGAGTTGTTCGTGGAGACTTGTAGGTGTGATTCTTCAATGACATACTTTTATCCTTTGAGAGAGGGAGATGAGGATTGAGACAAATTACATTTAAGGTTCGTTTGTTTCACGTAAAATAAATAATTTAGATAATAATTTCGTAAAATCGGTCGTTTGTGTCGCTTAAAATAATAAGCTGGTGGCAAATATTTTCGTTAGCGATAATAATTTATATCTAAATATTTTTTAGAGCGATGAAAAAATTTTCATTCGTTCATATTTGTAAACGATATAAACGGTTATTTTTAAAAAAATTATCTTTCAAATTATTGATTTTCGAAAAATAAAAGAAGCCAATACATATCTAATTCTCCATCATTCAAGCCAATGACATGAACAGTAGATTGTGCAGTGACTGTCTGTTTAAGCTATGGTTTTAGAAGCATGTCACATGTATTTGTGGAAAAACACATTATCACTGGCTATTATTTGTGCACTGTTCATGTTGAATTTTCTTGGGACGTACAATGCTCGAGGAAACCTGCCGATTCTGAAGGCTTTTTTTTTTTTTGAAAATTTTCACAAAGTCGAACGTGAGAATTTTAATGAGACAATTTGAAATAAATGGTCCTATTTTAACCGAATATTATATTCATTTTTATAAAGAAAACAGTTTTGAATATGCATCTGCCAGCACTTTCAAAACAATTTTCAAATGAAAATTGAACAAAAAAGAAATGGAATGTTTTCAATATTAGATTTATAGAATGAAAAGAAAGCAATATCTACTGTTCTCATTATTTTCGCGACTGGAAAATTATACCAACAAAATGTCCTTTTTCATTTATCAAAAATATTTTACCGAAAATAGAATATACAAACTGAAAGTATTATATAAAATTAAATGAAGGACACAATAAGAAGAAAATCTTCTATATAACGCTCGTACCACCTGATAGACCAACATGCAGTATCTATTCAACAGAATTTTCGTTAATTTTGTGATTTTCAGACGTGTATAAAAAAGAAGAAGATATTTCATACCAACATATCGCGTAATTAAATGTTAAAAGAAGTATCCAGATAAATAAAATGAAAAATATTTGACCAAAAAAATAGAAGGAAAAGCAAAAAATAGTCATTGTCTATGCTGTTTCTGATCTTCTTGAATGGGATGGGGCCCGATTTTACCTTCTTAATCGTTTTATCTTCCTTTTGAATTTGAAACTTGTAGGACTTAATGCTCCCAGCTCTATTACCCAAAAATGGAAATGACAGTTTCAAAAGCTTGACCAAAGTTGGCGATAGATTGCCTGTAATCATGAAAAAACATTTGGCTTTTTAACCTGCATGAGTAATTATATCAGGAGCCTGTGAAAGATTGATATATAATCATGGTTCAACCAAGGAGCCTCTCAAGATTAAAAAGGAAAAAAAAACGAAAACCAATGTAATAATCTTGGAGCCTATGCTTTTGCTTTTTGATAATGTCTGAAGAGTTTTTCAAAACAAAGTAGGAGATGAGATATTGCAACCATATAATTTATAAAATTGAATTAATTAAAGAAAAAAAGAGGGAAAATAATCCCAGCTCTCTCTATTATTTATTTATTTATTTGAAATAGAGGGTGTCTCGGTAACAATCTACGTATTTATTTTTCAAAACAAAGTTGGAGATCAGATATTGCATTTTATAATTGATAAAATGGAATTAAAAAAAATAGGGGGAAAATAATCCTAACTCTTTATTTATCTATATATTAATTATTTTGAAAAAGCGTGCCTCAGTAACTATCACTGACTACATCCATAATGCACACCGCTGAGAAGTCATGCAAGTCTTTCTTCTTTTGGCCATCGAAGGGCACAGTTGTTTTCATTGGCGCTTGGGAAAACAACAAAACATCCTTGATGAGGCTGAAAGTGATGCTTTGGACTAAACAACATTAACAAGCCCCAAAAAAACCCTAAACCCCACACACTAATGCACTCGCACAGTGCCTTGCCTCTATTATACTTGCCAAGATCACATGATCTTCCATTTCTGGTTGTCTGGCTGTTCAGCCATCTCGAGACAGCATGCCATGTAGCTATCAGCATCGGTCAAAATATCTGTGCAACTCCCTCTCTTCAGAGTCTCGTAGATAGAGATTGTGTGTTTTGAAGGTGAAAGGTCATTGGTTTTGGTCTCTTGAGCTCGGCTTGGATGGACAGTCTACAGGGAGTTATCTTCGAGCTACAATTTGCAAGGTGGCATACAGCAGCAGCAGCGGTAGCGCCAAGATCCTTGTGCTGTACTTTCAGCATCGGATGGGGATTGATCAAAGAGGAAGCCCTAGTAAACAGTCTGAGCCCCACCGTTGAAGAATTTGTAGCCTCTACATTTGTAGCCCTAGTTGGATGCCGTTCCATGTGAGCCCGAGCGATATCAATTGTTCGATCGCGTGCGCCCCAATATGGAGACTACATGAATCGACGGGCTAAGAGCATTGGGGACTTGCGTGCATTCGAGGCTTCCGATAATAATTTTTTGGTTTCAGAGCGTGTGGATCTAGTTGGGATAGTGTTGGGTGAGGACCTTAATTGTACCCTCTAAGCAAGACCCATGATAACCTTACAAATTCCTACCGCTTTGTTTCTTTCTACCATGCCAAGCGACAAGTCTCATGTGCATCGTCCAAACTGGTCATTAGACTCATCACAAGATCTCCAAGAAGTGATTGGCTTTACAATTAATATTGCTTTTCAAATGGATAATCACTGTCCTTCATTCTCGTTTAATTTCATGTCTCATTTTCTTTTAAGATTAACGGGCAAATGGCGAGAAACTTATCAAATAACATCCTCGAGCACAAAATTGCATGCCTGAAGATGAAAGTGAATTCTCCGTTTGTCGAAGTTTAATAAGCCCATAATTCGTGACTATTCGATAGATTCACCCACATTAAGTGAGCACCCATTTGATCAATTTCGCGACATTAATCCACGGTCATAATAGCTATATTCGCAACATCGCCATGGTACTAAATGTAGCTGCGATCGTACAATTCGACCGTGATTTTATGAATTCTCTCGTGTACCCCTCAAAACTAGTGCTAAATCTTCTAGAATTTGCCCTTTTTCATGCCAAAGATTTTCGTTGAAGCCTGTCTTGTACCGTCCCAATCGAAGGCTCTGCAAAAAAAAAATTGGCCCAGGATGGTCGTCATCTGGAAACCGGTTAAGCATCCAGGCTAAGAACAGCTACAGCTTGCCTAATGCGCGTAGCCTGTGGACGCGCAGAGGGGATAAAACCCCACCCTCCAATAATTAGCGCCTGGCCGTCTGATCTGATCTTAACCCATCACGCGCGACCCCGTTGTCACCGGGGCCGGACTTTTAACACGTGTGGGGCCCCCCCGCGCGCTCTGGCGACGCGAATAATTCACTGTTTCCCTGTCCCTCCCCCCCCACGTGACGTGGCCCCTGACACGTGCGGTCGGGAGGTCGTTGATGATATCTATCATTTTTTTGTCGACTTTTTAGCTCCTTTTTATTCACTGCGCTCGCTTACGTCATCCCCCCTCCCCCCGGTCGATCCTGCAGTTTGCCCTTGTCAGGAACGATCCCCAGCCGTCGGATCCCCTTCGTCTTCCTCCTGCCATCTGCTGATCCCACGGTCAGGCAGGCACGTAATTAAGTTTTGACAGACACCCTTTTCTCTGTTTATTTTCTATTTTTGTTTTTGGAGATTGGAGTATCAAAAGTCCTAAAATTTGAAAAATTTCGAGATTCGATTACGCTTTCATGATAAATTTAATGACTTCAAATGCGCTTATCTATATATTTTTTAGTCTCTCCTCTTTCATGAACAATTTCTCAAGCTTTCTATCGATTAGTACATGGTTCGTATAGTGTGTAAAGATTGTTTGTAAATAATGTTTTGCATTCCGAGAGGTAGGACATAAATTTGATCTTTTTTTTAAGAGATTTACAAGAAATTAGAAGTGTATTAAGTAAAAATATTATAGCCAAGTCGGTGCCCTAAATATAGTTATTTTCTCACACTTCTCGAATGATTCCACTTGTGTTTTGATTTCTTTTTGCGAATATGAAATGACTCGAGCACTCTACATGTAAATTTCTTGAACGTCATCCTGGTTAATTAAGAGAGGAGAGAACGATGTGTCAATAGAGTTTCGACTATCAAGCTCTAGATCTTTGATACCTAGACGATCGATCGAGAGTACGAGTTTCAATGCACTGTACGAGCTCAACTTACTCTCTCTACATATCCCGAGGGACCAATGACCCCCGCCAACCCTATTTGCGATCTGTCACTAGTAATACTAGCAGTCGTGTCGCAAATGGACATGAAAATTACTATAATAGACATTGTTGTCTACAAAGACTTTTCTCCAACCCCATCGCAATGATGAAGATATTTATTAGGTGATTTTTCGTATCTCGTGCATACATCTTCATCGTTTGTGTATATATAATCGATATCATACGTTAGATAGTAACGCACAAAATCAATTCATATAATTAAGAAGGCCGGTGCATGAAAGCCGCCGTTGTTCGACTCCAACCTTTATACCATAGTTTGAACGCAACGATTTTAGGTCGAGTCCCAAGTACGGAGAGTTAGCTAGGATGATCAAGGGCTACGGACCATCAGCTCTATTTAGATAGACGCAATCTAAGTATGCATGAACAAAAAATGCAACTATCAACTCAGGATTGTGATGGGTCGTCTCTTTCCCACGTGAACCGAGGGCATACGTTGCTTCCTTAGCAACTCAAGGAGTTAGGATCAATTGAAGTCTGATGTCTTCATGGGAGTAGGCGGGTGGGGCAACGAGGTCGCTCGACCGCACGACCATGATTGGCCAACATCCTTTTCTCTAGCCCCAGTCCATCTCTACTCGGGGAACATTTTGGAGGAGCAGAGAGAGAAGTGAACGCTTAGCACAAGATCTCATCGAGTCATGCTTTTCTCTAGGGTGTCAATTGCAACCATCTGGCGTATCGAGGACCACAAAATAGAAATCTCATTCTTTGCATCGAGAGATAGTAAAATAACTCGACTGCTAAATCATAGAAACATAAAAAGGGGCAAGTCTCACATGATCCGACATACATAGATAACCAAATTTTTCGATCTGTTTGGTTTGCACGAACACCCCGAACTAATATGAGCGTTCGTTCTCGATCATTTGTGGGGTTTTTCGGGGTACGGTGATGCAAAAAAATGAGAAAAAAATCCATAGTAAACTTGGTTAGAGACCCTACCCCGTGACTCAATAAATAAACCTCAATAAAATTCGTTTAATACCTAGGAACATTATCTTAATACGGCACGAGGAAGAAAGGGACAGTTTCTCTCCTTCCAAGCACCAACAAAGTGGCAGTTCATTAGCCGTCTCCTCAGGACTTCCGGACAATGTCAGCCTCACGTATGTTTCTCTGTCCCCGCCTGTCTCTCTTTGGCCGTGGTGCAGTGGAGGAGGGGTTGCTCCACGTGCACTTCATGACTTGGGCTGTGCTTTCTCGGGGGTCTCCCTCCTCCTCCATCCCCATCTTCACGTTCAGTGCGAGCATGCATGCCCCGCTCATCTCTCCAGCTTTTGTCTTTATTGCAGCAGTCGAAAAGTTCAATGGAAGCATTATGTGATTTGGTCGATTGTGATACGACTAAGCATGTTAATCGCATCTCGAAAGCGTGAATTCCATATCACACGATTGGGAGTCGGGAAGGAGCATGGTCTTTGTATCTTGTTCGCTCATGACTTTCGATGGTTTTATGAGCTTTCTATTAGTACTATATGTTGGATCAGGCGAGTTAGCGAGCTCGTCGTGGTTTGGAATAATTGGTGTTGCGAAACTCGACAATAGGGCAGGGATTCGAGGTCCGTGTTGATATTTTTTGATGGCAAAAGAGAGCTTGACTTTTGGATTGAGGGAATTGGCTCGGTGTGGTAAGCTATATAGTTCATGATGCAACTTCCTCCGACCATCCTTTTGATTGGTGACAGTTTTACGAGTTGTCAATAGAAAGCTCGACTTTTTGGATCAAAGGAATTGGCTCGATGTGGTGTGGTAGGCTAGTACATGAGCTCAGATCGAGCTCGTTCTCTACTATGATTGATTTATCTGTCATGCTATATAGATCACATCTAAGACGGGGCTATTTGCAGCCCTATTATGATTGAAATACACATCATTATAATCGAGTGATCTAACTACCATTTCTCTCTGCAAATTGTTGTTTCTTTCGGTTAAGTGTCAAGAAAAATAAAAGTCACATTCACTCACCCCGTTCACTAGTCATCTTTCCTTTTCATCCTCGTCACCCTTGTCCATTGGAGATTGTTAATTTGAACTATTGGTTTCATCTGTCGAATCACCGGCCGCGAAAGATTAAGAACTTCTATTAATGAGATAGACGTGACTCGTATACACGCCGTTAATCTAAAACCATTCTTCTAGCATGAATTTCGATGGATTCTTTTCTAATTTCCTTGGAGAAAGAATACAACTTGGTAGTGCTTGTGAGGATCTAACGAACACGGGAAAATAAAATATAAGACGTATCCTTGAATGCATCCACCGTTCAAAAGTTGTTACGTAACGAGTTTCGAGGGGCATAATTTCATCACTTTCAATATGCAGTGGCGTGCCCGATTAAAAATAAAATATGCCAGTGGTGTGGACGCGTCAGAAAATCTTCGTAGGATAAGTTGATCGGACGTTACATGTATAGTGCCAAGAGAGACTATTGATAGTGTGTTTGCTTTGAGTACTCTTGAGAAGTTAAAAAGTAACTAGCAAATGCATACGTGCATGTGTTGCCCAATAAAACACGGGCCATGAGCTTATGGGGGCCCTGACCCGCAAGACCCATCCATCATCCAATAAGAGAGCCGGGTCGGGCCACGCCGTCTTTGCCCTAGCGAGCAACCGTACGCCGAACATCCCTACCAGTCCTGCTTCTTCCGAGCTCGACTAGACCCGGCTTGAATGCGACGATACATCGGGGCGGGCTTCTCGACCACGGACCCACCAACAGACATCGGCTAGCGAGGCTCTTTCATTTTTTGCATTGATTTTCACCGCTTGTAATCGGAGCTTGAAAACATCCGCATCAATAAGCCTTCCCACACGATGCTCGCTCGCTCCCTCCCTCCTAGGATTCCCAGCTCCCCCCTCTTATCGGGCCTTCTTCGAGGCCCAATCACGGGCCCAAGCACAAGCCCAACAAGCGAGCGCGCGGGGGGGTGGGGGCGAGATCTAATCCGGGGGCCCACGGACTCCATCCCGACCGTATTCAAATCCAGTTAAATCCGGACCCGGTTCAAATCCGCACCCATCTCTGTCTGTCTCTCTCTCTCTAGCTCTGCGTACAGAGGTCAAATACTTTCCCATCTTTCCCTCCTTTTACCTCCCTCCCTCACTCCCTCCCTCCCTCTCTCTCTCCTCTCCGATCTCTGCTGCGAGCGCTCTCTCTCTCTCTCTAGGAATTCTCCCCTCCCCCGACCTCAATTCCGACCCCGTCTCTCCCCGTCGCCGGACCTCCGAATTCCGGCGGGTCTCGTGCTTATAGTTCCGTCGTCGCGGCCATGGACGGAGGCGCGCAGTACAACCCTCGCACCGTCGAGGAGGTGTTCAGGGATTTCAAGGGCCGGAGGGCCGGCATGATCAAGGCCCTCACCGCCGGTACTACTACGCCCCCCCCCTTTCCTCTTCAAATTCCCGTTATTTCTTCTTATGGGTTTTCCTTTGCCTGCATCCCTTCGGCGCATCGCGTCGCGTGCCGGCAAATGGGGTTGAGGGATTTCGAGTTGTGGCGCCATTTTGGGTCTGCGTGTTTGAGGTTCTGACGGAAGTTTTCGGTTTTCTTTTTCTTTTTCCCCTGCCCTCTTGTTGCTTTGTGATGCAGAAGTCGAGGAGTTTTACCAGCAGTGCGATCCCGGTTAGGGTTTTCCCGTCTCTTCTGCCTCGTGGCGTTGTGGTTTTGCTGGATTTCGTGCTGTGAATTTGTTCGCTGATGGGAACTAGCTGCTGCTGCTGCTTTTTTATTTAGTATTTTTCTTATTGCTGATGCGGGTGCTTGTGCGAGACGAATTTGGAGACTTTTTGTTCTGTGGGTATCGAGCGAATTTCGCTTTTGGGAATGCATGACCGGCTGAAAAGGAAAGGGGGAGTTTGAGCGTTATGTTCTGGTCTGTTGCTAGATTTCATGCAGGGGGTTTGATGAGTAACGTAATATGGAGGCGTGGGTATCCTCAAGAAGCTTCTCGTTAGCGTTCTTGTTGTGTTTCTCTAATTCCCCCCCTTCTGCAAAATGTCGTTTTGTTTTTGGATTCCGTTTGGTTTGGATTATTTGAATTCTGCAACTCCCTTTGCGTTTGTTGTGAGAGGATTGATGATAGTTAGCTGTTGCCCTGGGCTTTGATGTGGATATGTTTTAAGGAAGAGTCTGTTTAAATATAGAAGATTAATCTATTCAATTCAATTCTTGGCCTGCATGTGTAGTTTCACAGCAATTGACAAACCAATTCTAACAACAGATGTCTTAAAACATCGTCTTTCTTTCAGTTGTTACTTACTGGTGAGCAGATAAAAGCTTATTTTGCCACTTATTTACCTGCAATTTTGCTCTCAGTTGAAAATATTTTAGCTATGTGGAGACTAAGCAATGCACCTGTGTGTCTACTTTTTGTGATAAGCAATCATCATGAGAAAACCGGCCAATATCCAACCCTTGTTTGCGAAACCCTTCATTGGCAAAGCTTTACCCAGTTTATTTCTTTATGATGCTGTTTAATGTTAAGGATCCGGAAGATTAACCTTTCTCTTGCTAATACCTTCGGATGAATAAGATGCCAAATTTTTGGGACAGAGTAACTTTTGTCACTCCTCTTACATGATAAATGTTGACTCATGAGTTCAAATTGACATATGTTATGGTTATTGTTTCTTGACTGCGTACTCTTGAATTTAGCTGCGACTCATTGGCTCTCCACTGTATTTGTGTTGGTCATTAAAATGTTCTGTGAAAATAATCGACAATAGCTAGGCCTGTGTGTCTTCTGTAAGATAATGTACTTCTTCCATTACTGCGAAACTCGGGAAATTTTTATGGTTCTTAGAGGTAACAAATTTGATTTGTTCTGTTTGTGAAATTTTAATGTACAGCAGGACATGTTATTTGATGAGAGAACTTGTTAGAAGCGAGTGATATAAGATCAAGAAGAACTTTCAAAATTTTTTTTTCTGAATCTAGATATTGTTGAGGCCTTTTTGAAATCATTGTGCTTTCTGGACTTTCTTTTATAAAAAAAAAAAAAAAAAAAAATTATCTGCTTGACCGAACTAGTAACTTCAAGCGTCTGACGTACTTGTTCTGTTTGGGCTTCTATATAACTACCGCTCCTCCTCTGCTTCAGAAAAGGAGAACCTTTGCCTTTATGGGTTTCCAAGTGAGCAGTGGGAAGTCAACTTACCCGCGGAAGAGGTGCCACCGGAGCTTCCAGAACCTGCCCTCGGCATTAATTTTGCTAGAGATGGGATGCAAGAGAAGGACTGGTTGTCTTTGGTCGCAGTTCACAGTGATGCATGGCTACTTTCTGTAGCATTTTATTTTGGTGCAAGATTTGGATTTGATAAAGCTGACAGGTTCTGTTTCCCTCTCTTCTCGACTACAGACCATTTATAGATTATTAATTTGACTTTTGCAAAGTGATTTGATTTTTAGTTTTGTTAATTCGTTCATTTACCCTGGAGAATTTGAAAGCTTCCAAATGACTGAAATTGAAGGGGAAAGTTTTTTTTTCTTTTTTTTGGGGGGGGGGGGGGTGTTCATAATTAGTTTGCATTTGTGCTGTTTGTGGTTTTTATATCAAGGTAGTGCTCCATGCTGTCAATGCCTTTGGATGCCTAGCTGGAGTATCTGTTATTTCCCATATTGTGAAGTAGTGAGTGGTTAATAATAGTGAAGCCATACGGTATGGTGATTGAGGCAATTACTGTGCAATTAGTTAGATTTCTATGATACTATCTTGGGTGTCGATGGATCTTTTGCTTGTAATGTCGCAGTGGGCTAGCACATTTTCAGGCTTTGTAACCTTATAGATTTCTCTGGTGCAGGAAACGCCTTTTCAATATGATTAATGATCTTCCCACAATATTTGAGGTTGTGACAGGCACGGCTAAGAAGCAAGTCAAGGAAAAGTCATCAATTACAAATAACAGCAGCAGCAAATCTAAATCAAATCCCAAGGTGTGGAGGCGATCTTATGCCATTCTTTTGGGTCATTTACTTTATTTTCCAATTTCCAATTCGTCAGGAGGATAAACTTCATCTTTCGGGCTGGCCAGCCTGAGTGTATCGGGAGCTGTATGCACCCCTAGAGTCCCATATTTAGTAATTCCTGAAACTTCTTTCTGTGGCAAGCTTACAAATTACCGCACCTTCTGCATCCAAGTCCATAATCACCCATGCCAAAGAGAGAGAAAAAAGACTATACCAAAAAAGAAAAAGAAACCTGCTTTGCACTGTTGCACCTGTATTCTTGATATAGTGTGCAGTCTAATCTGGAAGCAGTGATGCATGATGTACCCTTGCGATCTATTTCCTGTAGTAGTCTGATTGTTCTTGAACATTTGAAATCTGGTGTTCAATCTTGAGCAGTATTCTAGTCAAGTGAATGTATCCATGTCATGGTTGATGAATGACTTTATTTTGTTTGAAGTTATTGAATGTGAGTGCACAACTGTTTGCCTTAAACATTTGATGAAACAGACACCAATTCTAAAGGAAGTAAAGTACATTGAAAAATCAGGTCCAAACGAGTTAGAGGGCAGTATGCTAGTCAAGTGAATGTATCCACGTCATGGTTGATAAATGACTTCATTTTGTTTGAAATTATTGAATGTGAATGCACAGCCATTTGTTTTAAACACTTGATGAAACAGACACCTATTCTAAAATAAGTAAATTACATTGAAAAATCAGGCCCAAGTGAGAGGGAAGAGAAAAGAGGAAAAGAAGAAAGAAAAAGAGGCGGGGGGGGGGGGGGGGTGTGCTCGGGAGGGCTCAGGGGATTTTGTAATGCCAAATGTGGAGCTCTGTGATTCATCTAATTATGCATTATTGGTGATATTTTGTTACATATCATATCTTAAAAGTACTTGTTGAATGCAGAAAGGATCAGAATCTCAGACAAAGTTTACAAAGGCAGTGCAACCGAAGGAAGAGGAGGAGGAAGGTTTGGAGGAGGAAGATGAGGAGGAGCACGGGGAGACTCTTTGTGGAGCATGTGGAGAGAATTATGCCTCGGATGAGTTCTGGATTTGCTGCGATATCTGTGAGAAGTGGTTTCATGGTAAGTGCGTCAAAATCACTCCTGCTAGGGCTGAGCACATTAAGCAGTACAAATGCCCATCTTGCAGCAACAAGAGAGCCCGGCCTTGATAGTTGCTTGGGAGGTAGCTGTTCAAATGGTTCCTTTTCCTTGACTGCTAATTGTGTAGTTGGTCGCTCTTATTAGTTCGGTGTTCCTTGGTTAGAGAAAGTTGTGTAGGTTGCAGATCAGTTGTTCATTAACTAAAGATTCATATTTTTATGGTTGAGTTAAGGCGGAATTCAGACTTTTCTGTTAGGTACACCTTTATTTATGTCAGTTCTTGTAATTTTAATTCTCGGAAGATGTGTCGTCTCCTCGTTCTAGCTTCTGCCTGGCCCAAAGTTTGTAGCATTTGGCGGTGAGGTTATGCTTTTGTTCATTATTTTTATTTTGTGTGAGCATGATTCTGTGAGTCGGTCTACGTAAAAAAAACTCTTGAGGGAATCCAAAAATTGCTATATATAGCTGGAACTTAAAATCGTGTGAGTGGTGTTCGAGCATAGTGCATGTGACAACTTGAGTTTGCAAGCTACAGAGAGTTCGGTTAAGCTTTCGTGCTCAACTCTACTGCTGGTTTTAGCCGATTATCTTCTGTATTAATTTCATTGCGTATGTGCATCTGTAAGTACGAAGTATGGTTGTCTGGCAAACGCTAACACAGCTGATATCAATCTTTCAACGATAAACCATCCGTGGCTGGCGAACATCAAAATTGCTGAGCACTTGGATGTCTGTTTACATATGACAGACAATTCTCCATTCTTGAAGTTAATAGAACTTTGGAAAAGGCTAATTTATAAGTAGGCCCGTTAAATGGGTGGGTCGGGTTATAAATGGTCCGACTCAAATTAATCAATCTAACTCATATTTGCCTATTTTTGTGCAACATAATTTTAGCGAATAATATCTTGGGCTCTAACTCTTAGAAATTTTCATCCTTAAATTATTGCATTTAAAGAATAGGTGACTTCATGTACAAGCTCGCGGAGTTGATGAGAGAGCTCGTGTGCTCGAGTCGATTTGTGGGCTAGGACTTCACATGGCAAATGAACAATGTAGAGATGTGGGTGAGCGTTGCGTTGATGGAAAATAACAAAGAGGTTTTAGAACCAGGAATCAGTTGGTTCTGGTTCAGTTCCAGTCTACTAGGGAACCAGTACATTTTACTTTTTGAGTGAAAAAACAAATTCTTATAATACAATAAAAAAGTTACGCCATTTCACTTGGTCAAGTGGTTATGTTATTTCTTCATAGTAAAAGATCATGCTTCAATTTTTGACAGTGCAAAAGTGTTTTTTTTTTAATAAAAAAAGAGGCTTTCGAATCTGCCTCAAGGGATCCATGCAAAGGCACCAAGGTCTTGGCCTGGTTCTCACGGTCTAGCTTGGAGAGATTCGGGCCAAATCTTTGACGACCTGGGCACCAGGAACTCGAGCTTGGCCTTGAGGGACTTGGCCCTAGCCTTTTTGGACCCGACTTGCCCGGTCGCCAAGAAATTGGGCCCAACCTCAATGGACCTTGGTCGGGCACTAATAACTTGGGTGAGGGAGCCAAGTTCTTGAGCATGGCTGCTAGGCACCCAATCATGGGCACTAGGGTCTTGGGCTAGGCGCGCCTCCGTGGATTCAAGCACGAACATTGGGGTTTCGGGCCCGACCTTGAGGGATCTATGCCCTCCCTTTGTTGACTTAGGCCCAGGTGTCGAGGAATTGAGCCTAGTCACGATTGACCCGAGTCAAGTGCCAATGATTTTAAGGCGTAGCCGAATACCCGGGCATGGCCGCTAAGGACCCGAGCCCAACCTCTGTGGACTTGATCATCGAGGAATTAGGCTTGGCCTCGATTGACTTGGGCTTGCCTTGATGCACCCGGGTTGGATGCTAAGGACTTGAGCATGAGACCCTAGTGCTTGAGTATGGTCACTGGGCATTCGAGCATGGGCATTAAGATCGTGGGATAAACCTTAAGGGACTTGGGCTCGGCCTCTGTGGACCTAGGCACAGGTACCGGGGTCTCGGTCGGGCCTCGAGGGACCTAAGTCCAGCCCTTATGGACTTGGGCCCAGTCATGGTGGACTTGTGATGAACACTAGTGACTTGGGTGTAGGAGCCACATACTCTAGCACGGGGTCCCGAGCCTAGTCTAAAGAGACCTAGGCCTGGTGTCGAGAAATTGGTCTTGGTCTCGAGGGACCTAAGCCTGGCCTCCAAGGAGCCAGGCATGGGCACCAAGATCTGCGTCTCGGCTTGAGGGACCCCGGGCCCCACCTTTATGGACCTAAACCAACCTCTGTGGACCTTAGCTGAGTACTAGTGACTTGGGTGTGGGAGTAAGGTATCCAGGCTTGGTCGTCAGGGACTTGGGCACAAGCATCGAAATATGAGGACCGGCCTTGTGAACCTAGGGTCTTAGGCCTGACCTCGAGAGGCCTGGGCCTAACCTCGAGAGGCCTGGGCCTAACCTCTATGGACTTGGTCCCAGCCATCGAGGAACCGAGCTCTGACTCGATGGACCCGAGCCAATGAGTCTGAGCCTGGTGCTAGTAACTTGGGGGTGGAAGCTGGATACTCTAGCACGGCTCCTAGGACCCGGGCACAGCCTCTACGAACCCGGGCACGAGCACACGGAGGACATCCCACTTCAAGTAAATGGGTTGAAGTTGGATTCTTTGTAAACCCATTAGAACTCTTTAGGGCTTTGTTTTATTAGACCCATTTTAATCTATATTTTTAATTTTAGGCAATCCATATTGCACTTACCAAATATGAGTCAAAATATGGGTCCATAAGCCATTTTGCCACCTATATTAAGAAGGATCACGCCCTAGCGAAGGCAGTGCTGAAGGATTTGACACAGAGACATCATTGCTTCTTCACGGGACTCGGTTAGATGGACATGGTTGATCATGACCGTTGAATGTGGTGACCTCTCTATGAGAGCCATATGAACATTACATAAGATTGACCTGATCCCCAATATGGACCCATGCAAGTGTTTGCCTTCTTAAAGAATCTTTCTCATCAATCGTTTTCTATTGGCTCATCAGTCACTCATTTTCTCTTAGAAGAGACGTCAAATTTTCTGTGCTCACATATGCAGGGGAGGTCTCTTATCCACTCTGTGACTTAAAACAATGATCAAACCTCTGTATTGATCCAATCCAACGGTATCTAATTCTTTAGAGTTGTTGGCTAATGATATTCTTTATAGTCCCAATGAGATTCAATGATTATCATAGTAGGCTACAAAAGTTGGTGGTCCATTTGCTGAAAGTGGGCCCCAAAATCTTATCCATTTAAAAAATCCCCTTATGATACTAACCAATGTATCTTCCATTCCTATGCTTCACATATATGCATATCAAATATGCAAGGGACGTTGACTTGCAGATGATGGTTATACCATACCCTATCTGAACAATGAAGAAGGCCATGCAAGGGGACAATGTCACTAAAAAATATGACATTAATTTAGGATGGAGTTTTCTAGAGAATCTTAAAGGGTCAATCCTCCGTCGTAACGCCTTGTACCTATATTTTTTTGTCGTAATTTTATATGCATAGTATCATGGCCAAGAGCATATCATGAGCAATAAAAAGCGAGTTTAAGTAAGTAAAACAAAATTTGGCACGACAAAATGCACTAAATTACTAACAATAAAAATTTACTTTGGATATCGAAAATGAGCAGAGCGCAACAATCTCACGCTCACAAAAATTCACATACGAATTACATCCTGTTATCTTTTCAATGTAAATTGAATATCGCTTAGCAGATGCCTTAAGTTAAGGCACAGCTAGTTATACTCATCACGTAAGTTTCTTTCCTTTGAAAATAAGGAGGTACAGATACTCTCCTTTTCCTTCAAGGGAGGCTGTGTTGGACAGTTTGGATTGAGATCTGCTGAAATCTAGATCGGAGTGGTCCTCAAGGTTTGCCTTCAGGTCACGGAAGGAGTAGTTGTGAGATCAGGTTCTGAGTAGTGGATGAAACTGATGAGCATGATGAGATTCAGAGAAAGTGTTAAAAATGGCCCACGGTTTGATGGTCCATAGAAAAGTCAATAAAGTGTTAAAAATGGCCCACGGTTTGATGGTCTATAGAAAAGTCAATAATAAATGGTGAGGGGCCTGAATGGTCCATAGAAATTTGGGGTTCTTTGCATTTGGGATTGTGCTGCTGCCCCTGGTTTTATGTCCTTTTTCTTCCCACCTTGCTAAATTTTATACTAAAAAATTAGGGAAAAGCATCATGATCTCCACTGGATCAGTTCCAAAACTACAAAAGAAAAGGCTTATTAAAATTTTTTTACGATTAAAACAGCAAATTCCACATTAAATGTAAGTTATTGAACTCCTAAATAGACTGTACTGTAATGTACTCTGTATGTGAGAGATGAATAATGGATGGGAGAAGATTGCGAAATCTTTGGTGTCGGAGTGTGTCTCATTATCCATTTGTTAAAGATAGATTTGAGAAATTTCGTTGGGCATCCTTTGGTGTTGAAGTATGTTCCGGGCCAGTTTTAGGGTCAACAGGTTCGGTTCCTGATTCCAAAAATTGGGAACCAATGCTGACAGAGTAGATTCTAGATTTTTGATTTGATACCTATCCATTTTAAAATCGATCACCCATAGTTTTTGCATTACTAAATAGGATTTTTGTTTTTTCGCTGAGCCCAGTAAAACTGGGGGCCAAGTCCGCATCATTCCTCTTTTGTCTGATTTCAGGTGGTCCTCAACTTTGCCAATCAGCCATTCGGATTTGCTGATATATTAATAAGATATTTCCCAGAACCTGGATTTCATTATATGATTTGTTGACGACTTCTTTTCGGTTCTTATGAGGATTTGAATCTACACTTCCTTGGAGGTATTCAGAAACAACTGGAGTTCCCCATAATCTAGTCCCATGCGCATCACTTTCCTCCAAAATCCCTAGCCCAACCTTCCCCATTGTTTGTTTAGTTTACTCATTTGGGTTTTCTTGAACAGGAAAATTGGGAAAATGGAATTTCTTATTTGAAGCAGATGAGACTCTATTAGGTCCCTATTAACTGCATGTTAACACATAACTTCTAAACATGATGAGCTCATAACAAATATAATATGCAAGCATCAATATTCTGATGTTCATATATAAATCTTAGTAGTTGCAGTATGCCGACAAACGACGAGCTGGCACTTATTTCAGCGAAAATCGTCTCCGTTTTTCAGCAAGCGATAGAGTTACCAAAACTAGGGGATGGTAGCTTATTAGTACATAGAAAAGGGTGTTGATTTTTGTCTTAATCACCTCTTCCTAGTTCTGTAAGTACCTATGACTCTTCAGGTCTTAGAGGGTCAAACTTGTAGTTGATTTGTACATTCTCAAGCTGTGCACAGAACATATGCAACTTCTCATATCTGCATTAAATGCAATACCATTTAATATCAATAGGTCTTGAAGATAAAAGAATTGTTTCGCATTAGATGTAGATATACCTTGGACCTGAGCAAGTCCTTAAATGGCTCAATCTGGACCTCGAGATGTAAAAATAAGAGGATATTCCAGTCCTCCTCCCGAAAGAAAAACAACACTGGGGAGGGACATGGGGTGTCGAGGTGGGTTCGGCCGCCGAGACCTTAAACAAGGCGCGTAGCCTCAACAAGTGGCAACACCCGGTTTTGGTGAAGTAAATCTAATCAAACACCAAGGATCCAAGGCCGCCCTCAATAAGATAAGGTTATACCTAGAAACTTTATCATACATCATCATGTAGAATATATGAAACTATACAAAATCAAGTTTAGGCCCTTGGTTTTTTCCCCCTTTGTATCTTCTTTTTTCCAACCATCTGCTTTTTTTGGCCACCCGCAACCATCTGCTATAAAAATGAACGTTTTAGCAGCATGACTCTCCATTAGGCATTGGTACTTTATTCAACTGCATTAGCATTGTTATAGATTATGAGTTATGAAAAACTGGGGCAAGCAAAAGATAAAATCCCAATAGGCTAATATTGATCGAATCGTTGATTTACATTCAGTGAGCCCTTTTTTCAATGCCGATATGAGAACATCTATCTAAAAGGAAATCTGAGAATATCTATCTAATAAGAAAGGGAAAAGTTTATGCTATCTCATCTGTTCTGCTTCAATTTAATCCTTCAGTCAATAACTGAAGAATTCCTGGTTTTTAGCAGATAATCTCTTCAGGAACTCATAGGTGGTGATCATGATTGTTGCAGACATGGCCATTGAAGCCCATCTTGGTCCCAACCCTCTGTAACAAACACTAAACCCACCTTCCCTCACCAAACTCTTCAAAGTCTGCATGGTAGTGAGCGCTCTTCTTCTGCCATTTTCTTCTACATCCAACACTTGCAATCTCGTCTTGATTGTGTCCAATGGCATAGTGATTATTGCAGAAACCCCACTTGCCATTGCTGCACTCAGACCCTGCACAGCCACCGTTGGCATTGATCTTGACTCAGCCCCAAAAGAAGGACCATAAGAAAAGCGGTCTTTTTGGCTTCTCCCACCACTTTTTCCCACAAAACCACCCCAAATGAGCCTATTGGCCACAGAATAAGAAGCCCACCAAACTGCATTTGAAGGTGCATACGTCAAAATTGAAATCCCAAATCCTCTGTATAGGCCTCTCAGACCATCAGCACATAGTATTTTCTTGCATACATCGAGACCATTTTTGTACCTACAAGAATTAATACCCCCTTGACCAATTAAGCTCCTTTGGCTAGTGAATCCATTTTTTTGGCCTTGGACCATTAATCTCTGGCTCACCACGTCGACTGGGGTCCACACGAGCTGAGCAGCCATAGCTGAGCTTAGCCCTGCCACAGCACTGGCAACGGCCAAGGCACTGGTCTCTGAGAGCCCTAGCTTCACAGTGACTGAACCAACACTGCTCTTGGTGACCTCAAGGGCAGCCATATAGAGAGCTCTTGCTGGGATTGTGCCCATAAGGGACGTCCCCAACCCTCTATAGAACCCTCTGAGGCCTTCATGCCTCATGATGGAGAATGACATCTTGAAGCAAGAGATCTGTGTGGGTGAGACTTGTTGCCTCGTCTTGAGCACCACAGCTGGGTAGAGAGCGGCTGATACACCTGAGAAGAGAGCTGCTCCAAGGAAGAAGAATCTTGATTTGTCAAGCATATGCCAATCCACATCTGCTGGGAATTGAATCTCTGGAGCTGCATCTTGCTCTGTTGCTCCCAAGCTCATCTCTTAAAGCAACTTCGTAAGCAAAATTATCAGCAAATGATGTATAATTCCTCTCTGTTCTGTTTCAACTGTACAAGTTCAAATGAATCTCAAGTCCAGACAACTGAACTGATACCAATTCCACTTACATGGATTGAAAAAAAGAATTCCTCATGTTAAGCAGATTGAGATCTAGGAAAAACTTATAGGAAGATAGAGAGAGAAAAAGAGGTTAATCTGAGGAGGAAGTGACCACAAACAATGGACTAAAAGAACAGGTAGTGAGAGGTGAAGCCGAGTTGCTCTAATTATTGGAATGAAGTGTTGGAATAGAAAAGAAAGATTATAAAGAAGACTTTCGGAAACGGACGAGGTTCCCACAGGAAAGGGGCTGAGAGATTTGTGATCTTTGGTGGACAAACCTGATTTAAGAGACGGTTCTTGCAAGAGGCAGAAACCATGGGACTATGATGATCGCGGTTCTTCAATCAACGGGCGATTAACTTCGTGTCGGGACAAAAGGAACCCCCTCTCTTTAAGAGTACACAGAGTTAGACGGATGGCAGACTCCAGAAAACTAGAGAGAGACTGAGCGAGAGACAGGGGGGTCACAGAAAGCGAAGGTGTTAACATAAAGGTTCAAGATAGAGAGGGAGTTTTTTCTCCCTAGAGAAATGGATCGAGTGGGGTTATCAGTACTGTTCACACATATTTTATCGAGCCAGCAAATTATATATTGAGATGTCATCAGGTTCACGTCCAGCAATAAGAAAAGCGAGATCATTCCTATGTACATATTTTTTAGGGTTTTGCCAACATAATGATTTTTATGCTAATGTGAGAGTAACATATATTGTGGGTCACAAATTTCTGAAAGAGTAAACTCCACAATAATTTATAATTATTTGTCATTTGTTTTTTTTTTTGGTCAAGAATAGACTGTTATCTTCATAATTGGTTAAAGATTGTCACCCAATTTTTTTTTAGGTTTTATAGCATCAGTTACAAAATGAGTCTAGATAATAATTTATCGGGTTAATACTACCAAAAACTCTAAATTGGTATACCTGTGATAAATTTATCCCAAACTATTTTTTTTAATCACAAAAACCCCAAATTTATATACTTGTGACAAATTTATCCCCCGTTAGTTTCCGTTAAATTGGATTAATATCACGAAAAATCATAAATTGGCAAACGGAGAGTAAAACCCCAAACTAGTATACCCGTCAACTGATACTGTCATCTAACTCAGCAATTTAAGGTAAAATTTAACAGAAATTAACGAAGAGTAAATTTATCATAGGTGTACCGATTTAAGGTTTTTCGTGATATTAACCATAATTTATTTTTCTAATTATTGATGGAAGGAGGGGACATGCGGTCAGACAGAAAACTTGGGCTGGGATTTGCTGGGTTTGTGGTAAAGCTGCTTGTCCTGTGGCGGGTGCAATGTTGAGGCACCGCTGATTTCCTCCGCAACCGTGGGCGAGGGATCGTTTCAAGTGGATGGGTTTTGGTTAAAATAATAAAATCCAAGGTGGGATCAATTGAACTTTTTTGTCTCTTACATGTGTTGCTTTTATGTTGCGGCTTCGTCCTCCGCCTACAAAAATTAGATAACCCATCACTTTCCTTATCAGGGTGGGCGCTAAAAGTGATGTCGTGATTGATGAAAGGCAAGAAATATCATATTTCTCAATTTGAGTTCTTTAATATATAGAATAATGTGCCGTTTGATTGAATTTATATGTATGGTTTTTCTTGAAAGGAAAAATCCGTTTTAAAAGCCAATGCTATGCGTGACGGCTGAAGCGGGAAATAAATGCAAAAAAAAAATCGAGCAAGAAACTGCAGAAATAAGTTTGACACAAATGATTTGTGTAGTTCTGTTAGGTGTGTCTTCTCCAAAGAGAGAAATCGATTGGATATTCTATCATAATCAATAAGGAGAGACTATAATTGTTCAGAGCACACAACTCTCAAGTGTAGAAAAGACTCAAATTACACTCAAAAAGTGTCACAAACTCATACTATCTTCTTTGAAACACACCCCAATATCTATTGTCCCCAACAAAACTAGGATTATCAGTTTCACAGCATCACAATGCATAACTAGATTAGCCGTATACGTTCTCCCAATAACATGTGAAAGATGAGGCTCAGTAATATACCAACGATCAATAGTACCAACATGTGAAGCACAGGACAAATGCTTCACCTCAAGCCCAGTGCAACGTGACAGCCTAGATGATTTATGACGTGCAACAAATGAGGTACTAAAAGATCTAACCAGCTAAACACTGAAGCACTTCGATGCTTTCTTGGCTTATCTCCCTTGAGCCACTCAGTACAGCTGTCGTCTCTTTATGGATCTCCACATCCGACACTTCCTTTGTTGCCCCCCCCAATCATCCATCTACACATATGCATTCAACAACCGCTCCAACTCGTCTACTTCCGCTGACCACCTTGAAGCTTCGGACACTGTTTTGGCCTCGAAAAATCTATCATCTGCTAGGGAATTTGATGATATTGTAGAAACTGTCACATCTCTAACACTCTCGTCATCTTTAGGTTCTCCTCGAAACTCCATATATTTTTGAACACTGTGCAAATCTTTCTCTGCAATTGTTCTTGTGGCCTCAAAACATTCAACATTGCCTGACTCTGACTGAAAAACATCATCGAAGGTGGTGCCATGAGTTTCACTTTCATTCTAATGACTAAGTTTGAACTTTAGATAAGTATGTTATGCAAATTTAAATTAAACATCAAATAAGCTAGATAATTATCTACCTAGGTATACTAGCTCATCACACAGTCCCTTTTCTAAGGGAAAACATAGAGCAAAATTAAAATGTCAGTTTCCATTAGAGGCTTTTTCCATTATTGATTGGGAGATAATAATAATTTACTTTCTGACCATCAAATCAAATATATATTAGGGTGCTTGTGAAACATTTTTATTATACTGCTATAATTACTCAAAAATGGCGAATAGAGACATATTATATATTTTTTTGAATATTATAGTGCTAACATTTAGCTTGACTAAATCCTATTGATACACATAAACTACCGTGTCTACTTACTTAAAATACTTTATCCACATCTTGACCAGTGTCGCACCTTAGATTACTTTGTGTCTTGCAAAGTTTATCTTGCTAACAAGGGAAAATTGTAGTTAAGGTGGTACAGTGGTTAAAATTTGATTCACTTCCTAATGGAGTCTTTTGCACTTTGTTGCATTAAAACTAATTTATAACTTAATAAATTATACGATTGATGTCAAAAGAATGTCTTTGGTACATGAATGCCAGATTTAGTGCAGTAATGTATTTATTTTTACTCCGTTAATGCTAGGCTAGAGTTAGTGGGTATTATGTCATTAAACCCAACTGGAAAGGGTTACGATGCTTCTTTCTTACTTGTTCCTCCTTATCAACTGCTCTTTCAATTCCCATCCCTCTTCTAACCATATCCTGATGACTGATGTGAAAAATTCGTAATGGTTATATAGTTTTGAACCATTATGTATCATTGCAAATTTATGATGCTTTGACACAAAAGAAAATTGTAAATCTTGTTTTCTGAATATATTTCTGTGCGCATATGCCAGTAAAAAAATATGGAATTTTCATGATAAGGGTAAATTTGAAGCTTTATAATCAACTTAACATTCGATATGAAGTTTGATCATTACGATGTAAAGAGTCATGAGCATTTTGCTGAATTATTGCATATAGCGGTAAATCTTTATCAACTTTAGGATAGACAATTATTCTCCTAGTAAATTTTTAATGAAGCAAGGTAATCATATCTTATCACTATCTCTATATGATTTAATTGATTACATTATATCATTTCATAAATCTCTGTAATAGTTTTTTCTCAAATACACGCTATATATGCTTATCTCAACATAATATTTACATATAACCTATGTCAAATTTCCGGTTGAGTTGGGTGGGTAAAAAAGAAATTAGTTTCTTGGAATTTTTCACTACTAATGTAATTCTTAAAGGATAGTGGAAATCTTCGGTACTTACAATAGAAACGTCTCTTGGATCCTCAACTTCAGTTGTAACTTTGCAGGATCTCTTATTGTGTTCAACTCCTTCGCATGTTTGGCGACTCGACGCGGCAGCATCACTTGGGCTGGCAAGTTTCTCAATCTCATCCTTGTCCTTCTTCCTATTTTCCATACTTGCCGTTTTCCCCCCTTCGACTCTGCCATAGTGTCCAATCCTTCCGTCTCTCATTTGCCTCCTATTTCTCATAACCTCGAAACATTCAGCATTGCCAGGCTTTGGCCGGAAATAATTAAAAATGGAGGAGGTGCCATCAGTTTCGCTTTCACCCACACATGCAGGGTATGAGACTTCATCAAAACCTGACATGTCGAACTCAACCCCATCCTGAGCTTGGGAATGGAGAGCAGATTCAAATCAGAGCACATATATATATGTGTGTGTGTCTGTATATAGCTTAGTTCCACATAACCTTGATGGTTAAATTATTATATTAATTTACTAATTTTATTTCCTTAAAATTTATTATCATTTGCACTAATTAATCCATACCATGCCAAGTAAAGGAAAAAAAAGAAAGAGAGAGTTAAGAGTCTTGTATTTCGATTCCATATAATTTTCCGTTTTTGTTTCTAACTTTAATGTCATTATTTTAGTGAACTTAATGCTTCATCTTATATTCACTTTATTTACAATAATCTACTCTTTTTGTAAATCAACGAGAATTTTGAACAGAGAAGGCAGTTCAGCTGAATTTTTAGATTGCTATCGTCTCTTACCTCCTCTTTGGCTTCTTCGTCGTCGTTCTCTTCCTCATCCTCATTGTCATCATAGTCATCCACGGAATAAACCAGTCGAGGCCACTGCAGAACCTCCTGCACATCGTCGTCCTCATCATCTTCGTAATCGTCCTTGTCGTCGTCGCTCTCTCCGTCCTCATCACCCTCGTACCCATCCTCGTTGTCCTCGCCGTATCCATCCTCATCATCCTTGTAATGGTCCTCATCGTCCTCGCTATCATCTTGCTAAAGAGAAAGAGGTTAAAAAATATCATATCTAAGGTGAATTAAACATCTTAAAGAAGCTAACGTCAAAATCCCCAAATATCAAATCACAACCTAGTTTGAACACCCAACCATAATGCTTTCTAAAGCATCAACTGAACGGTAAATCCCCAAATATCAAACGGAGCCTAGGTTGCTTGTGAAGCGATTTTATTATACTGCTATAATTACTCAAAAATGGCGAAAATGGAAATTTTTTAAATTTTTTTTGAATATTATAGGGCTAACATTTAGCTTGACTAGTTCCTATTGATAAACATAAACTACCGCACCTACGTACTTAAAATACTTTATCCACATCTTGACCGGTGTTGCTCCTTATATTACTTTGTATCTTGCAATGTTTGTCTTGCTAACAATGGAAAATTGTAGTTAATGTGGTACAGTGATCCAAAATTCACACACTGCATGATACATGAGATAGTCTTTTGCACTATATTCCATAAAGATTTTTTGTAACTTAATTAATTGCACAATTGATGTCAAAAGATTGTCTTTGGTACATGAATGCTAGATTTAGTGAAGTAATGTATTTATTTTTAGTCTGTTTATGCTAGGCTAGAGTTAGTGGGTATAATTTCCTTCTATTTATGATTCCTATTTGTAGGTTACCTCACATGTAGGGTTGCGTTCTCAGTGTACTAATCTACTTGTGACGGACGCCATTCATTAAACAGTCACTAACGACTTATTTCTAGCTTGTTTCTTTTCATTATACCCAATAACTTGTGTTGAGAAAACCTCATATATTTTGAAGTTAACAAAACTATCGATGATTTATATTGGACTTGATAAATACGAGAAGTGTTTAACTTTCAGGATTCTTGTTGAAAGGATTCTTCTTGATTGAAAAACCTCCATGAACAAGTTTAGAGAAATGGAAATTTATATTGACTTGGAAGAAGCAAGGTTTTCGTCTACATAATCTGCATCGCTAGATATAATGATCATGATATACTTATGATATATATATCTTATCCTTCGTTCCACATAACCTTGATGGTTTACTTATTAGATTAATTTACTAATTTTATTTCTTTAAAATTTATCATCATTTGCACTAATTATTCCATACCATGCCAAGTAAAGCAGAAAAAAAAAAGTAAGAGTTTTGCTATTCCAATTGCATATCAAGTTTTGTTTCTGTTTGTAACTTTAATGTCATTATTTGAGGGAACTTAATCATTCATCTTTATTCACTTCAATTACAATAATATACTCTTTTTGGATAATTTTATATACGCTACTATCTTTTGCTGTTAGCTATTTATTTCAAGAGTTAATACCACGAGAAACCCCAAACTGGTATACCTGCGACAAATTTACCCCAAACTAATATTTTGACCACCAAAAACTCCAAACTGATACCCCTGTGATAACTTTACCACAAACTAATTTTTTAACCACAAAAAACCCCAAACGGGTACATTTGTGACAAATTTACCCTTTGTTAAATCGAATTAATACAAAAAAAAATCACAAACTAGTACACCTGTGACAAATAAAGGATAAAACCCCAAACTGGTATATCCGTTAACTGCCACGTGTCATTTAACTTAGCAATTTAACAATAAAATTTAACGGAAACTAACGGAGGGTAAATTTGTCACAAGTGTACCAATTTGGGGTTTTTTGTGATAAAAAAAATTAGTTTTGGGTAAATTTATCATAGGCGTAGCGGTTTAGGATTTTTCATGATATCAACCTTTATTTCAATTATAATAATAATATAGATTCAATCGTTGTGCTTTCTAGAACTATAAAGGAGGTTTATTTTCTACTTTTTGTAAGAAAAATCCAATATAGAAGAGGAAGAAACGTTTTCTTTTTTGCCATAACCATGGGACGCATTGTTTTATATCAGTCTATGAAAGTCTGTATGTCATTGTATTGTTTCTTAATCTAAAGTCATATGCTTCAGGATTAATTAGTGTCTCTTTGCATCCATAGGTTGCCCTTTTAGTGAAATAAAATGTTCACTCATCTAAAAGTTACATCTTGACATGCCATATGACTATCTGCTTTAATTTACGTTGAAATAATCATGTACTATAAAAAGACGTCAATCCTGCGTGTTGGCAATTTGCAGTGGTACTAAAAAGGAATGGTCAACTAAAAAAACTACTCAAGCCCACTGGTGGCCTAAGATACAAAGCTAGTCAAGCCTACCATATATGCATGCACCGGCAAAGCAGGCAATCAACGGGACGCACGGCTATTGCTTAATCTACAAATGAATAGAGTAGCTCTGAATTGGATTGCATAAACATTCTAACAAAATTATTAAAGAAAGAGGCAAAACAAACATTCTAAGCATCTTTACTCAGAAGGCCAACAACAAATTCATTAGAGATGGACCATCATAATATCAAACATATATACCCTGAGTCAACTGCCTCTTGTTCATCATTCATATTCCCATGTGCTGGCAGAATCTAACGTTTTCTTTTATTTGTTCTTTTGTACTGCTATGATCGAATCATTTGACATTAACTTCTCCATAGCTCAATAATGCAATGTTTGAATCAAATAATCGATAAGTACTATTATTAAATAAAACATTAAGTTTGTGCATTAATTTTGCCTATTGAAAAATAATAAAAAATTTAGTAGACAAAAAAGATCATATGTTGCTTTTGAAATCTATGATTGGTGATCTTTTGTCTACTTTCTTGTCTATGAAAGCAATTTTGATGATTAATAGTTAAAGAATTATTAAATGAGCTTCCTGGCAATATTAAAGAACCAAATCTATCCAACATAAAAAAGGCAAGTAGAGATAACTAAGATAGAAAAAATATGCAATCTAAGTAATTAAAGTACAACATAAAATGGGAACCTTAAAAGAGGGAGGAAAGATTGCTTTAGGAACCGCAGATATCCATCGCCCAAAAGGGAAGTAGAAATAAGTGACTAATGTCAATATTTTAAAATCTTAATCTCTATTTGCAAATCAATTGAGTCATTTTTTTTATGGAAAATATCTAAAATGAAATTGGAATACATTAGAGAAGGTGGGAGGTACTTACATAAGAAAGGCTTCTTTGATCCTCGACTTGAGTTATAGCTTTGCAGGATCTCTCATAATGTTCGACTCCTTCGCCCCTTTGGCAACTTGAGCGGTGAATGTCATTTTGATTGGCAAGTTCCCCAATCATATCATTGTCCTTCTTCCTATTTATCATACTTGTCGTTTTCCATCCATGGACACTGCTATCGTGCTCAATTCTTCCATCCCTCATTTGCCTCCTATTTGTCGTGGCCTTCGAACATTCAACATTGCTCGGCTCATTTTCAAACTCTCCCTCAACGTACAAACAAATGAATCCTCTTTTACATGCTTTTAGCACCATTCCATTCACTTGCTCATCGCTCTTGACCTCTATGAGAGACACGCAGTCTTCACGAAGAGCAATATACCATATTCTCTTCAAACGAAAGCTGAAACTTTTGACATCAGCTATCAATCCTTCATATGTCACTGAACCTGGGTTCACATTTGCTTTTTTCCTCTTTATTCCACCAGCAAACCCATCCTCACTGTTCTTCTTTATTCCAAGGATGAATTTGATTGTGAAGGGATGTTTTATCTGTGATGTAACAAGTTCAATGCGAGAGGAAACAACATATGTAAGACACATGAGATAATCTTTTGCAATTTATTGTACAAAAGTTACTTGTAACTCAATAAATTGTACATTGTTGTCAAAAGATTGTGTTTGGCCCATAAATGCTAGATTTAGAGGGTATTGTTTCCTTTTGTTTATGATTTCTATTAGTAGGTTAGGTTACAGAGCGTAAGCTTCCTAACAGTATTAGTAAAGGAAGAGGCAAAACAAACATTTTAATTATTTTTACTCGGGAAGCCAACAGCAAATTGATAGGAGATGGACCATCACAATATCAAACATATATACCACAAATCAGCTCCCCCTCGCTCATCATTCATTTTCCCATGTGGCGACATGTGGTAGAATCTAATGAGTTCTTTTTGTTTCTTTTCTACAGCTATGATCAAATCATTTTGCATTAATTCATCCACATCTCGTTGATGTAATAATCAAATCAAATAATACATAAGTACTAGGGGTGATCGGTTCTCGATTTGGTTCGGTTCCAAGGTAGAACTGAGAACCAGACTGGGACGACCAGTTCCCAATTTTGAGAACCGGGGACCGAACCACCGGTCTGGTCTGGTTCCGATCCAATGGAACTGGTCATTTTTCCCATCACAACGAGAGAGAGTAACAAATCTCAAGATATTGACGGAACTGACAAGAGTCATTGGGGAGCGACGATAAGGGGAAAGCATTGTCCGTGGGTTTAGTTCAAATTTTACAATTTTTTTTGAAGAAATAAAAAAATAAAAAAGTATATGTAATCGGTCCAGTCCAGTCCGGTCCGGTCCAGTCCGGTTCCCCCTTGGAACCGGGAACTGGACCGCCCGGACATTTGTTCCATTTTTAGGAACCGAGAACCAAACCAAACCAGCTAGTCCGATCGAGTCTGGGCGGTTCCCGGTCTGGGTAGTCTATTTTGCACACCCCTAATTATGTAAAATATTAAGTTTGTGCATTAATTATGCCTATTGCAGAAAAGGAAAATAGAAGCAAAAAACATGATATGATGTTTTTGAAATCTATAATTGGTGATCTATTATCTAATTTCTTGTTTATGAAAGCAATTTTGATGATTAATATTAAAAGAATGATTAAATGAGTTTACTGGAAAATATTAAAGAACCAAAACTATCCAACACCAGAAAGGCAAGTACAGATAAGTGACTAAGATAGAAAAAAAATATTGAACCTAAGTAATTAAAGTACAACACAAAATGGGAACCTCAAAAGAGGGAGGAAAAATTGCTTTAGGAACCGCAAATATCCAACATCAGAAAACGAAGGAAATGAATCGGCCGCCTAAGAAATTACGGTGCAACAAAAAAATGGCGAATTTAAAAGGACGGATATTGTGTGGCTTAAGAAAGGAGGATATTTGGGCTAAAAAGGAATTAAACAAAAGTCCCGCACATTGATGAAGATGTCGCACCTTGTTTGATGTCTTCAGAAGAATCTCCTCTCTGTAACGCTTCAATGACATTTCCCATCTAGAATCTTTGATAGAATCTCCACAGCACGTTATATTGACGACGCAATCATCTTGTATTTTTGTGCAAGATGCATCAATCAAGCTTCTAAATGATGGGCACCTCCAGACCTCCAAGGATTTCAGAGACTCTAGCTCGTCAAGGCCCTCAACATGAGTAAGTATATAGCAGTCTTTGATCCTCAATTTCTCCAGGTTTGTCAAGTATGATAACCCCCTTATTCTTGTTATAGATATGCAGTCGTCAACGCTCAATAATTCCAATGATTTCGAAAGACCCATAACTAGAATCTCAACTAGCTCTGGACAATTAATCACAAGCACATCCCGTAGCTTCGTTAATTCCAAAGGAATGGATAATCTCTTAAGCCGTTTACAACTCCAAACCTTTAAGATCTCCAGTAGTGGAAGTCCATGGAGTGGAATGTCTTCCACTTCGCCATAATAGAAGCCTAAAGTTGACAAATTTCTCAACCTCAAGGAGGGAAGTAACTCTGCCCTCTTGATTCTAAAATATTCTAAATTCAATTTCAGCAGAGAGGACGGAAGCTGCACCAAGGTTTCTAGGTCTAGGCTAGACAAAGTAAGCTCTTCAAGTCGAGAAAGAGAAGACAACTCTGGAGGTGCAGGGACCTTTAGCAGATGTAGATCTAACATTTTCAGTTTAGATAACCTCCCAATCCACCTTACGTTGCATCCGGTGAGTAGGTTTGATTCGCTTGTACTACAAGAGCGATCACTTAGTAGCAGTTCAACCAAATTAGTAAGGTTTGAAAGATTAGGGACTGAAAGCAATGATCTAGATTCAAGATGAAGACGGGTCAAACTTGTGGGAAGCTCTGGCAATTCTTGAATCTCATGACAATACGATAAATTGAGTGTTTGGAGGTGATGAAGCTTATTGATTGTCTTTGGAATTCCACAAATACGGGTTTTTTCTAAATTTAGAATTCTTAAAGATGACAATTCTCCAATTTCAACAGGAATTTCACCTTTCATTTCGTAATGCCAAGAGAGATCCAGCTCTTCAAGATTTACCAAAGTGCAGATGCCACTAGGTAACTGCTGAGAACCAATTGATGATATTACTGGAAAACGCAAGATGCGTAATGATTTTAACTTTCCAATGGAGTTGGGAAGTTCCCTTATCCCCGTGTCTGCCAAAAGAAATCTCAAGTTTCAGACTACAAATATTTGCATTTTAATTATCCAATGGAGTTTGGAAGTTCAACAATGCGCATACCTGATAAGTCTAACTCTATCAATGAGGTCAAATTCCCAATTGAGCCTGGAAGTTCTCTCAAACTGCTACATCCGCCCAATGAGAAGTGCTTAAGCTTCACTAGTGCCCCAATTTCTTCAGGCAAATCTGTAAAATCCCTGCACCCTTCGATCTTTAACTCAATCAACAACTGTAGATTTCCAATGAAGCTTTCAATTCTCTCAAGAGAGGAGCATTGAAGAGTCAATCTCTCTAAACTTGAGCATTTAGAGATGTCTGGGATTTTCGTGATGCCGTTACACCAAATAAAAGATAGAACTTTCAAATTCCGCGTCATCTGTGAAAATGGATGGTATGTCAAGTGTAAGAACTATTGCATAGTACAAAAGGGAACTATCCAACTAGAAATAAAACATGTAATTGACCTTGATCAAGTCCCATGCTTTTGAATCATCCTTGAAGTAAATCCAGTTAAGTTTACAAACAACAAGATGATCCAAAGACAACTTGTCCGCCATAAAATCCCAAGGACAATCCCAAGAAAACCATCTCAAATTTGAACAACAACTTGCAAAGTCCCCAGCATAAGTTCCATAGCGTAACTTGAGGAATCTTAGGTTTGGTAACCTTTCGAAGTCTTCATTTGTAATCTCTATGGAGCCATCCAGTCCATCTATCTCAAGTGCTTGAACCTCATCCTTCCTCTGCAAGTGAAAATTTGCAATGATGTGAAGAATTTTGTCAACTCCCAACCACTATGTTTTACAACTTGGATGGCCAAGAAAAAAATAACAAAAGATTTTAAAACAAAAAGGCTTCCTTAATGCTAGGATATACAATTTCTACTTGAAAATGAGACGTTTCTTACTTACTTGTTGGGCTCTTACGATTCGGAGGGCCTCTTCTTCAATCTGCAATCTACTCTGCTTTCCAATTTGCCTTCCTAGGGCTATTAGTTGATCATGCATCCAGAACTTATCATTGTCCAATATCTTTACCAAACACCTCTCAATAAGGACTTTAAGTCCTCCTTTGGGATAAAATTGACAATCGGTCCACATGTAAATTGCATCGGTCTTATTCTTATCGACAAAGAAGCACGCTATATCGAGAAAAATTTGTTTATGATGTTCCTCTAGGTCATCATAGCTAATTCTCAGCTTCTCTAGAATCTTTTGCTCAGGTACTTTTCTTAATCTGTCCAACGTCTCTTCCCAAATTTCTCGGTCTTTCCCATTAAGCAATGAACCTATCACTTCAATGGCCAAAGGAAGCCCTCCCGTACTTGAGACAATGTCACTTGAAAGCCGACGATAATCATCTGAAGGAAAGTCTCCACTAAAGGCATGTCGACCAAAAAGCTCAAGTGCAGGATCAACATCCATCTCTAGCATCTCATATTGTCGAGTTTCACCTTTAAATCCCTCAACTTTTAGAACATCTATGTCTCTCGTTGTGATGATTATCCTAGACCTTGAATCTAATTTGGAGTTACCTATTAGTTTCTTGATGTGATCTCTTTCATTAACATCATCAAGAACTACAAAGACCTTCTTATCGCGGAGTATTTCTTCAATCCTCCTCATTCCTTCTTCACTATCATCGATTTTTTCAACAGATCCAGAACCAACAATGTCATATAGTAATTTCTTCTGCAACTGGACTATGCCCTCCTTGATTAACCTTTCACGAACGCCCTCGAGGAAGCTACAACAGTTTCCAAAGTGGGAAGATAGTTCATTGAAGATGACCTTGGCAATAGTTGTTTTACCGATGCCACCCATTCCATAAATTCCAATGAGCCGCGCAACACCATGGTTGACATCTAATAACTCTATCAAGGCTTTTACCCGATCATCAAGTCCAACTAAATGTTCAGTCACCAATTTTTGTTTTATCTTCAGCTTCTCGGAAGCCTTTTCAACAACCAATTTGACTATAGCTGCTTGGCTGCAAGGTATAAAAGCACTTTCATTAGTTAATAGATTAATTTCATACCAATGCAGCAAATGTGGGATTGTCAAAATTTTAACTTGAAAAGATTTGAAGTATATCAAACGATATTTAAGTACTAAGAATAATCATTATAGGCTAATTTAGTAGAACTCACTTGATATCTTTTGCATCTATGATTATATAAATTTATGAAGACTATATTGACTTAAACAATGGCCACGATTACCAAGTGGCTACTATATCGAGCATAATTTGGCATTGATAGATAGGCCTAAAAAACAATTTCAACAATCATAATGCGAGAATCATGAACCGAGATAATGTAGACAAATGCAAGGTCATCCATTGAACGCAGTAGTTCGGTTGAGAAAAACATAATTCGGAAAAAAAAGCCCAAAATATTTGTATTGGCTTCACTTATGCACGTATCTTCTATGGATCTTATTATGATGGCATTCAAAGAGCTACGTCACAATAAAATTTGTTCAAAATTGAAAATCAAGAGAATCGACTCCCATGGGTTAACTTGATAGTTAATGAACGAAGATATGTGTGGATTAGGGGCGCAACATATCTTTGATTCTCCACACCATCAAAGTGGATACCTTCATATGTTTGGGTCACCTACCCGGGCTTTGGCTTGCACCTTACTTGGTCATAGAGTTAGTAGCATAAGTCATAGTTTCGTAATTTACCTATCTAAGGTGAGCTTCCTTGTTGATATTTAAGCATCTTTTGGTTAAAAATCCAAAATTCTCAAGCGGCATGTTGATTACATTGACTACGTAACCCCAAAAGCATAAAAGATTCCCCACTCTTAACAATTTGTGCAAAAACAGCTCATTTACATTGGAGAAGCTAATTGGCGCCCATATTCTATGGTCATGCACACTGGGTGTTAATTCACCATATGCTAGATTTAAATCTATCAATTGACAGCCAAATTATGTGTTGTCTTTGATGAATGTTGATAAGAATTTAAAGTTGTTAACATGAATAACACGCGATGACACCCAAAACAAGAAATAAATGCCATTCGGGGTCAACATGTTGCACCCAACTCATCTATAGCTCATGTTCGAGCCCATGTGGTCCAGCAGTCATTTCCACCTTTATTACTTTGGATTAGAATAGATTTTTCTTTTGGTCCGTCCTACTTTAATTCTCAACTTACTCTCAAACTTTTTATCCTGTTTGGGAGTCGAAACCCACATCTGAAACTAAACTCCTCACCTCCCTCTTTCCAAGTAGGATGGGTGGCTACTGAGGTAAATCTCTGTGGTTGGATTAAAATAGATGAGTGATCACTATTTCTAGGCTTTTTTGTTTGCCAGAGACGATCCTTAAGAAAGGTGAAAAGGGAATATATATATATATATATATATATATATATATATATATATATATCTCTGCAATGTGTGTCCCTTCTCTCTCTCTCTCTCTCTATTTCTCGCCCACCCCTCCGTGCACGCGGCCACACCACTCGAAAGCCTCTGTGCCATCACCGACCTCAGATCAGAGGTTGGCCATGGCTGTTGCCTCCGGCCTGGTCAAGATCGAGGTTGCTGGCCTCGATGTGGACCTCCCGCAAGCTCTACAGAGCTCGAGGAGCCTAGATGATGGCCTTGTCATTCTTTACATGTCCTCAGGATGCTCTCGCTTCTATTGAATATTTAGGCATGAACTTTCTTCACGGAATCTTAGTTTCCTTGTGTAATTGGTGTTTTTTGAGGAGCACTCAGAAACGTGTAAAATAAAAATTGGCACCAAATGGGATCTCTGACTTTGTTCCTCTTTTCCCCGTTAATGGAAGATGGTTACTGATATTCTTATTACGAGAGAAAAATCTATTTTTTGGGTCGATGCTAGTGAGAATACAGATCAACATGGGTGCAAAATCTGAAGTTGATTTTGGTAATAATCATCCCAAATAATAAATGCAAATGGGTGCTTTTGAATATTTCGTAGCCTTACTAGACAGGGAAGAGGAAAAAATGGTGAAAAGGAATATGTAGTTCCACATCATTTAAGTTGAATGAGAGCAGCAATTGAAGGCAGTTTCCAATATTTTATGTTAAGGAAAAATATATAAGAAAACATATGGATGAGGGCAACGTTGTATTCCCAACAACGAAAAAAGAAAAAATACGTAGGATCTTAAAGGAGTATTACCTTTGGTCCTTTTTCACGTTCCATCCCTTGAATTTATCTACCTCTTCAAGAGCCGTTCTCCAGGCCTCAACTTCGTCAGGAAACTCCATCTTGTGTCTCTCAAAATCAGCTTTATACAGTGGAGTCTTAAGTTTAACGTCCTCAGGTTCTACGTCAAAAAAAATGGGAAGGATACTTTTTTGACCCCCTGAGTTAGACACATTGTGTACCATGAGCGCAAGCTCACGGAGGCACCATTTACTAGAAGCATAAGTTCGTGAGAAGATGGGTACATAGAGTTTGCAATTGTTGATAGCATATAGAAGGTTTTCACCGATCATTTGACCGATGCGGAGTTTTTCTTCGTCCCTGAATACATGAACTCCGGCATCTACCAAGCGGTTGTAGAGGAAGTCGGTGAAATTATGACGAGTGTCCTGTCCTCTAAAATTTAGGAACACATCATACTCACCTTCTAAAGCTGGTGCAGCATCGCTCTTCGTTCGAGCCTCTGACTTTGCCATAGCTAAGAAGTTGATGACTTCCAGAGATCTCTCTCTCCCCAAAAAGAGAAAAAAGGTTGTTGAGGTGTGGCCTGGCTAAGAAATAAGCAACAGTTTTGGATCTGAACGAGGCAAAGTGAGTGCCAATACCTAAAATACTCGGCCGGCTCACTTTAAAACAAATTTAATTGTCTGTCTTCCACCTAATGCTCTACATTAGCTAGTAGACACCGGTGAACAAGTTTGCAAATTTTTAAAGACTCTTGGGAGACCATAAAGGCCAATCAGAAGTTCTTCATGTTTCTTTTTTCCCTTTGGGATAAAGACAGCGGTCCCCAAACTATGACAAAATGTTTTGATTAGATCTTTCATTTGATTGGTAATTGGGTTCTTAAACGTATATTTTTATTCGAGCTGGTCCTTCCAGTAAGGTTATAACCGTGGAATGGTGACGTGACTGTTATATATTGATGTTGAACCTTATGGAGTCAATTATAATATTGATAGTTGTTCTCAAAAATAAAAAAAAATAACATAAAATTCTGGACAAAAAGTCTAAAAGAAAAGGAAAAATCAAGAAGAGAACGGGAAGCATGGTGCAGTTTGGTGGCAAGGGCCACTGGTCCTTACCACTACGACAGTGAGGGCCACGGCCCTCACTCAGATCTTCAGCAAGGGGGCAGCCCTGGCTCAAATCTGAGGCGAGGATTAGTGAATCTTGTCGCTTCCACCTACATGTAGAGGAAGTTCGAAGAGGGAGATTGTGCTGGACTTGCGAGGTGGTGGAAGTCCTAAAGCTCGTGGACTCAAAGAGGCATGTGTTTGTGGACAGCCTATTGAAGAAGATTGAAGTTCTTATTTTTTCCACAGAATATATACTTACACGAAGGTATGCTTCTCTTCAAGACACTAAATTTAAACATAAATCTCTTCTCTCTTTTTTTAATAGTACTGTATATTAAATTCTTTAAGTAGTCTCTTTGTCACGATTTCTAGCATTCCTTCACTCAGAGATATAAACTCTGCCACTTGAATAGTTGAAATTGGAAGCAGAAGAGCTGGAGGTTAGTTTATTTCATTGAAATAGCACTTGTGTTGAAATAGCTTATTCATTGAACTAACAGCTCTATTCAAAATAATGTGCTTAAATACTAAACAAACATATCTCTTCGCATTAAATGGTAGTTTAGATTATGTTTGCTTTTCAAACAATACGATTGTTAGGATACTCAAATTTCTTATTCCTCCAATCTAGGACAAATAGCTCCGACAATCAGGGTATTATTTACTTTACTATTGCATGAAAAAACATGATTCTTCGATTTTGTTTAGATGGTATGTGTCTTTGAAACAATAGATTCTTGATATTTACACGAAAGGACATCTCTCTTCAAAACAACACATTTGATAGAAGTAGTTTATATAAATTTTGTTTTTTTTTCAATAAAATAAATGCAGACAACTCTTCTCAAAACAAAATGTTTGAATAGACACATTCCTTTGTAATTTCATTAGTGATTTAGATGTTGTTTGTTTTTAGATAGTATGTTCGCTACGCGATTTTCATTTCCTTTTCTTGCAACCACACACTAAAAAAAAACTTGAATTTTGCGACGCAAATTTGCGACGCAAATTTTTCGTCGCTAATTTGCGACAAACTTTGTTACAGATTTCTAATTCCGTCGCAAATTTGCGACGAATTTTGCGACGGATTTATTTTCCGTCGCAAATTAGCGATGGAAAATAAATCTGTCGCAAATTTGCGACGGAAAATAAATCCGTCGCAAAATTCGTCGCAAATTTGCGACGGAAAAATTCTGTCGCAAATTCCGTCGTTAATTTGCGACGGAAAATAAATCCGTCGCAAAATTCGTCATAAATTTGCAACGGAAAATTTCCGTCGCAAATTAGCGACGACTAATTTTTCGTCGTAAATTTGCGACGAATTTTGCGACGGATTTATTTTCTGTCGCTAATTTGTGCAATGAAATTTACCATTTTGCGACGAAAGTAGAGACGAATTGGATGATTGTCACAAGTTCAAATTCAAAAGAGATTGGACGATTTGCTACACGTTCAATTCTAAGAGAGATTAGATTTACAAATTCAAATTAGATAAGAAGATCTATTATAAACTCAAGATATTAGATAATCTCTTAAAATGTTCTCATCCCAAATAAGCTTTTTTAGATTCGATAGGTGCAAATCTTATCTTTTCTTTTTTCAAGACTTAGATATAGATAACGCAAATATCTATTTAGTTGAATGTGGCGGTTTCCTCCGCACGTAGCTCTTATGTATGAGTAAATATATGGGTAAATAAATTATAGCAATTTTCAAATAGATCGGAATCGGGTGGATGTATGAAATGTAAAGTCAATGTATCTATATAGGGATATCTATAGGAGATCTTATAAAAGAGATATTCTTATTTAGACCTAACCAATTTGATCTAACCAATTAGATGAATTACTCCCAAAGGGTTACATCCGAATAATAAGTTAATAGAGGGCATGCATTCTATTAGAGAAATATTTAGAAGATTCCCTATATTTCCTTTAATTGATTGTAATTGATATTTTCCCTTTTAGATAGTCATCCTATAAAACCGATAAATAGGTTCGTGTACTCTTCATTTGACAATGATATATATATATATTTTTTGCTCTTAATTTTTTTTTATCACATTCTTGACTTGGTATCAGAGCCCTATTGTTATTTGAGAAAGCGTCAATCGAGTCTGTTTGTAACAATGGCATCCACATCAATCATGTTTCTCCACAGTGTTCGTAATGCTAGTCACATTATATGTAAAAGTGTAGAAGCATATCTACTCAAGGTTTCGACAGAATTAGCGACGGATTTGAAAAATTGGTCGGTAAAAACATTTCCATCGCTAATTCCGTTGCAAATTGGCAATGGAAACAAAATCTGCGATGGAAAAAAACTCCATCTCAAATTTTGCGACGGAAAAAAAAAGCAGTTGCAAAAATTTGTGACGGAAAAAACAATCCGTTGCAAAAATTTACGACGGATTTTTATTTTCCGTCGCAAATTTGCGATGGATTTTATTTCCGTCGCAAATTTGCGACGGATTTTATTTTTGGGGCAAATTTGCGACGGATTTTATTTCCGTCGCAAATTTGCGACTGATTTTTATTTTCCGTCGCAAATTTGCGTCGGATTTTATTTTTGGGGCAAATTTGCGACGGATTTTTATTTTCTGTCGCAAATTTGCGACGGATTTTTATTTTCCGTCGCAAATTTGCGAAGGATTTTTATTTTTGCGACGGTTTTTTTTTCCGTCGCAAATTTGCGTCGGATTTTATTTTTGGGGCAAATTTGCGACGGAATTTATTTTGCGACGGATTTTTATTTTTGCGACGGATTTTTTTTCCGTCGCAAATTTGCGTCGGATTTTATTTTTGGGGCAAATTTGCGACGGATTTTATTTCCGTCGCAATTTTTATTTTCCGTCGCAAATTTGCGACGGATTTTATTTCCGTCGCAAATTTGCGTCGGATAAAAAATTTTCAGGAACCCGCGTGGAAAATTTTCAGGAACCCGTGCTCTATCCCCCTCGCGCCATCGTCTCCCCTTCGCTCGCTCTTTTTATTCCCCCACCACCACAGCGTTCCCCCTTTCTCTCTCTAACTTCTCTCCCTCGTTCTCTCTCTCTCTAGCCTCCTCTGCCGCTCCTCCGCCATGATCTGCCGCCTCCACCAGCCCCACCTCCGACTCCCTCGCCGCCTCCTCCGACGACGCCACCGCCAAGCGCGGCAAGAAGCGCGGCAGCTACAACTGCGGCCGCTGCGGCCTCTCCAAGAAGGGCCGCTCCTGCCATGCCGGCTCCTCCCCTCCCCCGCAGCCGACTCCTCCTCCGCAGCTGCCGCTGTAGCGGCCTCCTCCATGCCCGTCAACGCCGCCGCTGCCGCCGCCTCCTCCGCGTCTGCTGTCGCCCTCACGCTGTCCTCGCTCTCATCCGCCGCGTGCTCTCCTTCGACGACCTCGACGTCCGCGCTGACGAGGAAGAGGAGGACTTCGACGAGGTGGAGCCGGATCTCGACGAGCGGGATCGGGATTTCATGGACGGGGATGCGGACGCCGGCGGGTTGCTCGCCAGGTGCTTGTGGGAGGTCCTGAGGAGGTTGCCGCCGGCGGAGTTGCTCGCGGTGGTGCGGGTGTAAAGGGGTGGCGGGAGATCTCGAGGAGGGTGTGGTGGGCCGCCGAGGATATGAAGCTCAGGGTTCCCTCGAGAGCTCAGCTCTGTACTGAGAATTTATATTAAAGCATGTACTATTGTTGCCAATATTCATGTACTTGATATCAGATGTTAGAAGGAACTCTGCAAGGCTGAGTTTGTGGTAGATATACCAGGTTTCAGCCGTGGATTAGATACAATTTGCATTGTGCGATGAAAAAAAACTCCATCACAAATTTTGCGACGGAAAAAAAAAGCAGTTGCAAAAATTTGTGACGAAAAAAAAATCGGTCGGAAAAATTTGCGACGTAAAAAAAAATCCGTCGCAAAAATTTGCGACGGATTTTTTTTTTCCGTCGCAAATTTGCGACGGATTTTTTTTTCCGTCGCAAATTTGCGTCGGATTTTATTTTTGGGGCAAATTTGCGACGGATTTTATTCCCGTCGCAAATTTGCGACGGATTTTTGTTTTCCGTCGCAAATTTGCGACGGATTTTTTTTTCCGTCGCAAATTTGCGTCGGATTTTATTTTTGGGGCAAATTTTTATTTTCCGTCGCAAATTTTGCGACGAATTTTGTGACGAAATATTTGCGACGAACTTTGCGACGGATAGTGTTCGTGGCTAATTTGCGACGATTTTTGCGACGAAATATTTGCGACGAACTTTGCGACAGATAGTGTTCGTGGCTAATTTGCGACGATTTTTGCGACGAAATATTTGCGATGAACTTTGCGACGGATAGTGTTCGTGGCTAATTTCCGACGATTTTTGCGACGAATTTTTTGCGACGAATTTTGCGAAAATTTTTTTTTTCGTCGCAAATTTGTGACGAAAATTGAAATTTTCCGTCGCAAAAATTTGCGACGACCTAGTAGCGACGGAATTTTTTCCGTCGCTAAATTCGTCGCAAAAATGATTTGCGACGGATTTTTGCGATTTTTTCGTCGCAAAATCCGTCGCAAAAAACATGTTTTTTTGTAGTGACATTTTTT